GTTTCGCGACCGCTCGTAGATCCCACGAAATTTCAAGAGTAAGTATGCATGTTTGTCTATGTATTTGTCTGTGTATGTGTGAATTGTGAGAGAGAGAGAGAGACAGAAAGAATGATATTGGTACGCAATCGCAATTTCGTTGTATCGCATTTGGAAACCTAAAAAAAAAAAAAAAGAAAACAACAAAATAACAAAAAAACAGAACAAATAAATTTGAAATAGAAAAAATTCCTTTTGGCATGATTTATATTATATAAATAGTTTATACAAAATTTTATATACATTTAACTATCTATTTTTCAATTATTTATTAAATTTTTATTCAATATCAATTGTTATAGATCAATTGTTTTTTATTTTAATATTATTGCTGAAAAAATATCAAATGTAATTAACGTTTGAAATTAATCAAAAAAAAAAAAAAAAAGAAAAAACAAATTAAAATTATATAAATAATGATTTTGTTTAATATTTATTTACATTAATAATTAATCATTACATAAAACAAATATTGTTGGATTTAATTCCAAATGAAATATAACATTTGTAAAAGTTTGTTTACGGTAATAAAACAAAACACACTGCTATCTACTACAATTACTACTACTACTACTTGCAATAGTAAAATAAATAAAATAATAAAATGAAAGAGTGGAGTAAAAAGAAGATAAATAAATAAAAAAAAAAAAAAATAAAAAAAAATAAAAAAGAAGAAGTATTGTTTAGGTTTGTTATGATAAAAAGATGCCTGGCGTGAGAACGATTATGGTTATCTCTTTCTCTCTCTCTCTGTCCCTCTCTTTCTCTCTCTTTGCATACTCACTCGGCATAAAGTAGACAAATAATTCATAACATTCTCGGAAAAACAATAAAAAGAATAAATAATAATGAACAAAAAAGGAATGTTGAATAAAAATAGAAGAAAGTGTACACGAGCTTGTAGCAGATTCTCAACGTAAATAACAACCTTTGATAACGTTGAACCATGCGTACATTTTTTGTTTTTTGTTTTTTGTTTTTTTTTATTTTTCGTTTTAACTCTCTTATTTTCCTATTTTTTTTCTGGATTATTTTTCTTTCTATTTTCTAATGAAATTTCATATTTCCTTCCAAGTAATCTCTTTACACTATTGACAAAAATGAGTTGGTGCAAGATGACAACGTAGGTAAAACCTTTTTCAAGAGTGGCAACATTTGTAAAGCTTTACGATAAAAATCGAGAACAAAATCAAAAATCAAAAAATAAGATTAGAAAAAGAAAGCAATACAAATGACATATATTTATTAATGTAATTTTCTATTAATTTTTATTTCTTCTTTATTTTATTTTATTGAAAAAGTAAAAATAGGTAAGATAGAAAAGACTGAAATATATGTAAGATAGAATTTTTTTTTATTTTTTTTTTAAGTAAATTAAATATCAAATATTTTATCAAAACTTATCGACAATATGCAATTTACATTGCACTTAAGCAAATAACAGAGAAATACAAATTTATATACCAGTTTGAACAGAAACAAAATGTACGTACAATTTGTTTGATATAAAATCTATATTTTTTATTTGATCGATCGTCAAAATATTCCTGATATCCAATAAAAAAAAAAAAAAAAGAAGAAAAATAAAGGTGTCATATTAAAAGGGGTTGACACTGTTCGTTGCTTTTTCAATTAGTTTCGAAACAACACACACACACACACACACATGTATTCAAATTGAACTCACTCATTCTCTCTGAAAATTGCTGCAACAGACCACAAAAACAAAACAAAAATGCACAAAATAAAAAAATAAGGAAAAAAACAATTTAAAAAAAAAAAAGAAAAATAACAACTCCCTCTCAGTTTATAGAAGAAAAATATTGAAAGTTTAAAAACAGGATATCGATAAAAATCGATCGATCGATCGAAGTAACGATAAACAAACTGTTATGTTATTTTTTTTTTAAACTATCGAAGAATACAATGAAAAAAAAAAAAAAAGAGGAAAAAACAGTACAAATGATGGAAGAAAATCTTTTTGGGTTATTTTCCATTGACCACACGATTAAGTTGAATAAACAAAGATAAGGATATGTACCTTAGATGGGAAAGAAAAAAAAAAAAGAAGAAAAAAAATCTCTGATGTGTATCCGTACCTTTTCATTGAGGATTACTCGATATCAAAAAAAGGGGGATGCTTTTCCTCATGGGAGAGGAAAACCTTTCTCTTCTCCTGTTACCTAAGCACCCTAGAAAATAACCCATCCCTTTTTACGAAACCATCCTACAGAGTCCACATAAGGATTCTGTAGTCTAACAAATAATAATAAACCCTCGAAGAGGCTTATGCTACTGTTGGATACGTAACACAAACTATCGAACCTATTCGATGTTATTTTCTGTCTTCCTTTCGTTTTTTCTTTTCATTTTTTACCCTTTTCCCATTCTCAAAGATTTATTTATTTTATTCTCGTTCCCTTTAACCCATTACCAGCCAATAGCCTTTTTTTGGGACGCATTTTCAAATTGTTTTTTTTTTTTTTAATAACTGCAACTTCAAAATGAAATATATATTCGTTAAAATCATGAAAATATTAAAAATTCTTATTATTTTATTTTAAATCAATAATTAATAATATAAATTCGATTTTGTTTTCATTTAAATATAAAAAAAGAAACAATTATTGCAAAAATAGTTTTATTTAGTTAGGTTAGGTTATGAATATTCAGTTAATTTAATTTTTTTCTTTGCATTTTCGTAATGCTGCAGGTAATGGGTTAACTATTTACACGTTATGGTTTCTGAACAAAAAAAAAATAATAATATTCTTTTATTACATTCTCCAACTCACAAGATTGTTTCCATTTATTCCTAAAAAAACAAATCGAAAGGTTTAACGAGTAAATTTCTTTTTTTAAACACTAATAATTGTAAATCCCTGAAAGATTGTTACGTTTCAATTAAAATTTTAATTAAACATTTGAACCTACTATTACATTTACCATAATAATAATTGAACGAATGATTGTATTAAAAAAAAAAAAAGAAAACAGAAACACATAACTTAAAGATCAAAGATTCAATCTTTCTTTGAAATTACAAAAATACTCGAAAGAAATCCCTGTTAAGATTTTCTTAAACACGATGTTGATCTTTAATTGAAAGAGTAAGATAAAAGAGAAAAAGTTTTGTCGAATCAAAGATAAAAACAACCAAGAAAGAAAATAAAATATATATATATATATATATATATATATATATATTGTAGTTGAGGTTAAGTTTACTCGAAGACTCAGTAATTCGACGGGATTCGCGTTGGGGGTAGGAAAGGTATCGAATCTTCGTTTTCTCGTTTCTCAGTAATCTGTTCTTCCAAAAAGAAGATGGAAACTAACCTAAAAGGGATAATGGTTTGTATGTATGCGTGTGTGTGTGTGTGTGTGTGGTATAGTTGAGAGTTCTTCTTTAAAGGGCCAACTAAATTTGGTAGGAACGTAAGTGCAACCCCAAACAACGTATTACCCGATGTCTTAGATGGTCTCGTTAGGCACCAGGATTGACTTCCTTCCCTTTAAGGGTTGAAACTAGCTGTCCAACTTTCGCACCGGGACGCAACCTAGACTTCCTAGACCAATTCCTTCCTTTATCACTCCCTATGATTAACCCTCCGCTAAATGACATCGATCGAACGTTTCAAACCCTAAAACTCATACCCCAATATCCCTAAACTCTGAACCTACTCTTCACTTGTATCCTTATAACAGTTTACTCGATAGATTGTTTTCAACAAGTAAACCAATAGAGGGGAATCATTATAAGATATCCTGTATATCCTGTCACTAATAAATTTATTTATATTTAAGATTTGATGTAATTTATAATTGAAGGAATGTTTTTTATTTCTAATTTGTGTCGTATCTTATTACTTGTTTTATATGATACAAACATATTTGTTTGTTAACAATAATTATATTTTATAATTATAGAAATTATTTATATTTATATTATTATATATTATAATAAATATGAGTGATTAATGTATGTTATTAAATTTTTAATTTATTACAAAATTTATTAACGAATTAAATAATGACGAAAATATTATTTGATAACGAGTTTGCAAGATGGGGTTTCTTTTTCAGCACATGGTTTCTTTTTTCATCCAACCATCTTCGAAATCACAGCTGACGTGAGCTCCGAGAACCGCAAAATGTTTCTTTTCCTTTTTCTATCTCGTGTTTTATTTTTTTTTTCATCTTTTCTTTTGTTCTTTTCTTGGCACTACGTTGGCTATCCCAACGTGCTCTTGCAGTTTGGACGTTTTATTATTTACTAGGACAGTTAGATAATAGTGTTTGGAAGGGTTTAAAACACCTCGATGAATAAACCAAGTCCCTTCCTGGTGATTTTTCCTTCACCATTTTTATATCTTTCATTCTATTTTTTATATCGTTTAAAAGTTTAACAAAAATACACCATTACTTTATTATTATCTAAACAAAAGCTATGATACCTAAATATTTTTTAAACAAACTCGTATAAAAATCACCACCCTTTCAATCAAATTCGTTTAAATATGTGTATGTATGTATGTATGTATGTGTGTGTGTGTGTTTGTGTGTGTGTGTGTGTGTGAATCACTTTCAATTATATTAATAACAAATGATTTAATTCGTTGAGATGAAACTTTTGGTAGGTGAAAGAAAAAAAAAACATAAAATGTATGAATCAGGTAACCAGTAGTCAAACTCAAGTCCGGAAACGTAACGATAATGGTTTTAGAACGTTAACCCTCAAGAGGGACTCCGTCATACACGTGCTACTCCTGGTTTGCACGCGAGAACTTGAGTAACCTGAAAAGCACGTTTTAGTGTAAATGTATGTGTGTATGTGTGTATGAGAGAGAGAGAGAGAGAAAGAGAAGTTTTCAGAGTGGTACGGATTAGTTTCCTCTCTCTTTCTCTTACACATAGACACATATACAAGTATATATATATATATATACCCTTTTAACTAGAAGAAGGAGGAAACGTTGTGACTGGAGTTCTCGAGTCAGATTGCTGAAGCCAAGGAACTCTGAAGGGAAAGGGTGAGAGCTTGGTTTGCTTGCTTGCTAGCTTGTTTATTTGCTGGCCTTCTACGAAAGGATTAGGAAACACGTGTTTGGCCCTTACATCGATACTTATTTTCCCTCTCAGAAAAACCCTAACTCCAATTCAAACTATTAACTTTATTATCTAATTTTACATTGTTTTTATTTTAAGTGTAATTTTAATTTACTTTTCGTTTGTTCTTCTCAATTAATATTATTTATATATTGATATTTATTATTTATTTAATTAATATTAAAATTAATATATGTATTTCATTGAAGATTTAATATTTCAATAAATTAAATATATATATATAATACATTTATATTAAAATAAATGTAATATTTCAGATAAAATATAATTATAATATATACCTATAATAATTAAAATAAACATTATAATATTGCATAAAGACCAAGATAATAGTTTTCTAATAAAAATTATTATAAAATTATAACAATATTTAATAAAAATAATTATAATACATATAATATATATACATATAATAATAAAAACAAAAATGTTTTAATATTGCATAGAAACCAAGATAATAATTACTTAATAAACAAAAACAATTTAATAAATAATTAAACAAAATTAAATTCTCAATTTATTCTAAAATATTTATTTGTCTTTTCCTATCGAATCATTCAATTAAATATAGCCTATTTATTTTTCACCATGTTTTTTCTAAAATATAGCATAATCTTAAATTATAATTTTGATATCCTGTTTTTAGCAAGGTTTTCAATTATAAATTGAATTTTCTAAATCTGTCAGAATCGTTCGAAAATTGAATGAAAATTATTGATGAGAGAAATTTTGGAAATTCGTCGGAATCGTAACTAAAACCCTTTACCCTATCCTCTACCCCTTCCACATTACTTCAACCCATCCCAATCATCCTCATTCTGTCCCCCCAAGTTTCATCCTCTGGAGTTACTGGTCGAATAATAATATTTCGTGAACGAGAACTGAAAATTATCGGATAACAGGAATCATTGGCTGAAATAATAAATAATTCGATAAGATCGATTTTCCAATATTCATTCCCTGTATAGGAACTCACTTATCTTTTATCGTGTTTCAGTATGATACACGTTTATGTTATATAATCGTACGTATATTTAATCTACACATATTCTTTAGAAATAATAATAATAATTATTATTATTATTATAATTATAACAATTATAATAATATTATATAATAACGTATCAAAACGTAGTATATAGAAAATCCGATTAATATGAAATATTTGACTGAAGGGACGATGGGATGGGATAAAAGTTTCTTCATATTATTTTCTATACGTCATTACGTAACACACATGCATATATGCATGTAAATATTATTTTGGTTGATGTGTTAGATAATTAATTTCATTATTATTTACATTTATATGTGGATCTTTATAAATGTATCATGCTATTTATATTTTGAGATACACGATTATAATAATCTTTTATTTTAATATTAGATGAGTTTAACAAAGATAAATAAACCAATCGAATGAAATATAAATTGTATGTAATAATTATTATTTATATAATTTTGTGATATTAATTATAATTATTATTAAATGATTAGTTTCATTTGGATTGATAAAATAAGATAATTTAATAGAAAAACTTTCGAAGTAATTTTTCTTCAAGTAAAAAATAATACGAAAAATATTTTTGTACATGTATGAATTAGAATGAATGTGTGTGGGTGTCTATGTAAATGGAAACGTGAACGAAAGGTATTTACGAGTGACACGAGTTTCACGAGTGACACAGTCAGCGAAATAAAATCGTGTTATTTAAAACAGACTCGTTTTTCAAGATCTATTTCGTAAAATCGATTTCTATACGAATACGAATAGGAAAAATATTGCATACTTTCAATTGCAATTGTATTTGTTACATCGTACGAATGAAATACATCGTGGTATCGTTTGACAACGCGTTATTTTTTTTTTTCTTCTTTTAAATTTAATATATTTTACAATTTTTTTTCTATTTTTTTTTTCCAAGGGTTTCTTTTCTTTTTTCTCATATATATATATATAAATTTTCTATCTCATGTATAATAAATATATTTTATATTCATAAATAATTATTATTAATCACTCGGAAATAAAATAGCATGTAAGTAGATTCAAACGAATAGCAAACGAGATAATGTTATACATTTCGTTAGAAACATATTTTATACAATTTTATAAAATCATCCACCCACCTCGTTAATGCAACCAACCACCTTTCCCCTTCCCTCCACTCCTTAAAACATATTCAAATAAAATTCATGATAAAAATTCGATCGAGCTAATAAGTAGTAAAATTCTTCTTCTTTTTTTTCATTCTTTTTTTTTTTTTTGAATAGATACGAGAGTCTTCGTAATAGATGAAAAGAAGATGAGGGAATGTGAAAGAGTTGGGTAGGGGTAGGTGGTGTGGATTGGGGGAAGAAAAGGAAGTAGTATATAGAAGTAGGGGGTGTAGAAATGAGATGAAACCCGATGCAATCGTCTGAAGAAGAAGAAGAAGAAGAAGAAGAAGAAGCAGAAGGAGAAGGAGAAGAAGGTAAAAGAGGGTTGAAGGGAGGGGGTAGTTTTCAAGGCTCCCCATAGTCGTTTCGAAAACGAGTTTTCCCGAAGTGACGAGAAGGAGGAGGATCCTCTTCTCTGGAATTACTATCGCGGATTTCGTGGCAGGATGTTCGTTAGTAGGATTTCTTTTTCTCCCTTTCCAACCTTCTCACCCCCCTTTTACCTCCATCTCCACTTCCTTCTCTTCATTTTTCCACCACTTTGTCGTCATCCTTGTCGTGTTCATGGACACTCGAGGATGACGACTGAAAAGAGCATATCATTCTTATTCAGATTTATATACGTGTATATGTGTAATTTGTATTTGTAGGTGTCGGTATGTGTATTTCTCACTTGGTTTTGAATAAAAGAAGAATGGAATATTATAGTCGGATGGTACTTCGTCAAACCGCAATTCATTCCAAATGTTGATCATTTTGCATCGATTATTATACTACCTGAAACATTTCAATCTTTTATTTATTTGTAGTACCTGTTTTTGATTGGTTTCTTGTTTTTTTTTTCTTTTTTTTTTTTTTTTACTAACAATCGTTGTTACATTTCGAAGTTTTATTTTATTTAAATATTTTAAATTCGATGGTTTTTAGTTGCAATTTTTGATTGTTTTTTTAGCATACAAATTTGTTAGGCCAATTCTAATTTGTTTATAATATTTTAAGGGAACTCTAGTGTTTTATTGTGTAGGTGTGTATTAATGCAAGGGTAAAAATATATTATGTTTATATAATACATTTTTTATTATTTTTTTATGTAATATGTAATTTTTATAATAATATAATAGCTTTTTATATAATATTTTGCATAATAATATAAAAGAATATTATTATTTTATCTGATATTAGATTTAAAAAAAGTAATAAAAATATAGGGGATGTTTGTTAACACGGATTATTATCAAAGTGATATGGTTATCATGCATAAGGTGGAAGACCAAAGGTAGGATAGAAACGAAACTGTTGACCAAATACACGGCTTTGCAAACAAGATTCCTTGCTACGAGCATCCCATTAAATGAAGATATTCTTACTAATTATATACCTTTGATTTATTTTTCTTCAACTAAGATCTTTCACAAACAAAATTTATTATAAATAGATAAACACATAAATAATAATTATGAATACAAAGAAACACCAGTAAAAAAAATTTTTTTTTAATTAAATTTAACTAATTTAATTATACATAATAATTATTATATAAATATATTTCAACAAAATAATTTCGATCATTTCTATCAAATGTGTTTCATTATTCTATATTTCAGTCATAGCATGATTTCAAATTCAATTTTTATCGAAATAATTATTAATAATTAAAATTTCTAAAACTAAACTTTTAAATAATTAAATATTTAACAAGAAGAAAATTCTTTCAATGATTAAAATCAAATATTAATTTTTAATTAATTTGTAATCATAAAATAGTTGAACGAGTAAACCACCCCATCCACCAATGACCCTACAATTCTCCTCCTTCATTATAAATGTTTCCAATTTATTATGGTGGTCTCATTTCAAATTGACGCATCTCACCATCCACTTCGTCTTGTTTCGTGTTCATCAAAGTTTTGTTAGTTCACCTGACACATGAAAGTTGCATTTCTCTCTCTCTATCTCTCTCTCTCTCTTTCTCTCTCTTTCTCTTTCGTTCAGTTCGTTCAAATACAGATTTGCATTTAAACTTGGACAAAATTTCTCGCGAGCCGAATAAGAAAGTCGACATAATTTTATTCCCTTCCCTCCCACTTCTTCTTCAAGAAAACCATGGCATCTGTTCCTATCACCCCTTCCTCCCCCAGCCCCTATACGAGGGACCCCTTTACTTCTCCTACACCTCTTCTTCTTCTTCTTCTTCTTCTTCTTCTACTACTTTCAATAGTAGCAGCAGTAGCAGTAGTAGCAACATCTTTCTTTAAAAACTCCCTAGGATTTTCCTTGGAAAACGCATTCACGAAAGAGATTTTAAAAACTAGAACGAGAATCCAACTGTGACTTGAGAAAACCCATTTTATTTTTATTTTTATTTTTCGGTTTTGGTTTTTATTCGTCTGTTTTATCGTATCTCTCTCTCTCTCTCTCTCTCCCTCTCTAATTCTATTTTTCTATTATTCTATTTTTCTTTTTCAATCTATCTATCTTTGTTGTACTTGTTTTTCTATTACTTTTATTTCTCTTAAAGAACATCAGATCGGTCGATAAGAAAACACGGAAAATAGAATTAGGTAGCCGAGCTTTTTCTTCCATCGATCTTCTTTTCCAACCCCCCCCCTCCTCCTCCTAACCCCTCCTCCTTTTTATCTACAACTGTTTGTCCTATTCTTCCTTTGCTTTTTCTTTTGTTATCCTTTAAAACTAACTATATATACCTTAGTCTCTGTCTATCCTTTTTACTTTACAATTTTCT